GTGAGTTATTGTGTCTTATGGTGAAAAGTACATAGTTTTGCAAGAGGCATACAAGCACTGTGGAAAAAGTAATCATAAAACTGTTTTTGTGAGCACTTTGCTCCCTACGTTATGCTTTAAAAAATGTGATACATGTAATGTGATCAAAGAAGATGATTTTTTTTTACTTTTATTCTTATGCTTTTAAAGTATGTCCGATTATCTTAAAACACTTATTTGGATGTTATAATGTTTTTCTTAAACAATGTGTAAATTTCATTCACACCTTGTTCATTGTATCAATGTGTAATTATGTATCTTTGATAAAGAAATAAAATATTTAATCTTGTATTTGTGTACTTTCTGGTGATTCAATAAAAAATTAGTCACATATCGCTCTGATAAACACAGATGTCTGAAAGAAATGTTTGATGGGACAAAGGAAACAAGTGTCTCGCTGCTAAACTTTTAAGTCACCAAGGTTTAAATGAGAAAATGCCACTAGGAAACTAGCAGCTCTAAGTCTTTATGTAAAACATGAAAAACTCCATATCAGGGATATTTGTTCTTACAAAGGTGTACTCATTTCTTTGTTATGGTACTTTACTGTTCCAATGAAACAAAAAGAAAATCTCATTTTAAAGTACATTTTTCAGCCATCTTGACCTATTTTCAGGGACAACAATGTTGATGTTAGACTGTGTTTTAAATCAGGTTGTGATCTTAAACTAACTATCACAGCACTGATTTAGTGATTACAGTTGTAATCTCAATTAGAATCCCAAACTGGCCTTTCCCCAGTCAGTGTTATGGTGAAATTTAAACTTGTTCTTTTGTGTAATTGCACATGGCCTATCACAGGACCCCTTAGTAAGCTGTACAGCATAAGTTTTCAATTCACTTTTGTCAGAAACCTTCACAATAGCACAGTTTCTCCAAATGTGTGCTTCTTTTCCATCACTCACTGTGCGTTTAGAGCATCTACATTAGCTCATGTAGTAAAAGTACAATCAGTAAGTGTACTTTAACATTTGAGATTCCAATAGAGGCTTACTTAGATAATCTCAACTATCTCACTAACCTCTTTTTCTTTTGTATTATTCATCAAACTTATACAAATCTCTTGTAATTTATTTTTAACTAATCTAGAGACAAGCAACTGCTTTTGAGCTTCTGTTATGCATTTACCTCACAAGTTAAACTAAATGTTAGTGTTGTCAGAGTTAACATGTCTCATGTTACCATGTTGTATTTCTAATACCCAGCCTCAGTGTTCGCCCTGTAGACCCACAAATCCAAACACCAATGATCTAGATATTCACAAAATTCATCACAAGATTCTTATGGTCTTAAGTTTTTGTTGTTTTAATGTTTTACACAAAAAACTTCACATTTTTATATTTTTAAATGAAAGTGTCATGGAAAGATATTTTTTCTTTAATGATGTAGCTGC